AATAAATCATTAAAAATATTAAAATTATAAATATTGAGTAAATAAAACAAATATTTAATAGTAATATAAAAATATTTATTATATGAATATATCAAAACATAAAAAATATAAAAATTATACATTTTTTTTACTTTTTTTTATAATACGTATATTAACTGTATGAAACTTGGTATTAGATATATTGTTGATCATATTATCTCCTTGTAAAATTTTATTTTTTGTGTTAGTCTGTAATTAAAATTAAAAAAAACAATTATAATTATATTATAAAATAATATAATATTTTTAAATTGTTATGTTCAAACCGTTTGTTGTGATTCACTGAAAAAAGTTTTATTTTTGGATTTTGATTTTGAAATTTCTTTCCAATTAGTAAATAATATTGGATTACGTATTTTTAAATGATCTTTGCCATCTTTATCAATGAAATTTTTAAGATGTCTATGTTTATGCATATCACCAAATTTGTTAGATTTAGAATGTAAAAATTCATTTGATGTTCTTTTTTTACTCAATATTAAATAATTAAATACTGAAGATGCACTAGGTGATGTTGAACTCGAAGTATTTGTTTCGTTTTCTTGACACTGAACCAATGTTTGAATGTTTTTTTCATATTTTGAATTTTTTTTCATATTATTGATTTTTATACTTTCTTTACTTGAAATTTGAGCTACACATATAAAAAAATATAGATAAAAAAATTATTTTATTTTTTTAAATATTATGTAATATGTATATAATGTAATAATATATAATGTAATAATTACAATGTTTACTACACAATTTCTTAATATTATATCCATCTTTGCATAATATATTATTGAAATTCTTAACATCTTGTTGAGTAATACATTGAGTTTCAGCATTACTAAAAAGTCTTAATTTTAAACAGAGATTACCTTCAGTATCTATATACTGAGATGACATTGCATGTTTTGAAGATACCTATAAAATTCACATATTTTATATTTATATTTATAATTATGAAATAATTATAATTAGATTTATGAAAAAAATAAATATAAAATAAAAATTATATTTTATATTTTATATTTATATCATATCATATTATGTGAATATTAAATTCATTTCTATCATTATAAATTATATGAAAAATTAAATACCAAATTTTTAAGAAATTGCTGCTTTTTTTGATTTTTTTTTGATAAATGACTTAATATGTCTTTTGTATATGTAGTTATTTTACTTGTAATGTTAGACAAATCATTGTATTCTTTTTTAAGATGCTTAACAATAGTTTTTGTTTCAGGAGATATTTCAGAAGTATTTTGATTTAAAAGCATACACGATACACCTATATCCTTTACCAAAACTGCATCTGGACATCCATTACTTTTATTACTCCTATAGAAAAAGATATGTAAATAATTTTTTTATTATTTAATGAATATAATATATGTATATATGTTTAATATATAACAAAAAAAATCATTATTTAAGAATAAAAATTTTCAACAAAATTATGAGATATTTATAAGTTTAATAAAATAAAAACTGTATTAATAAAAAAAATGTTGAATAATAATATAATAAAAATATTAACCTATAATAAGGAAACTGACAGCTATCATGAATCGTAGAATTACTCATTTCATCAGAAATTGTATTTTCTGTTACTGAATGATTATGTGAATCTTTGTTCATACTGTTAATGGAGTTGTAATTCGATTCAATAATCAAAGCATTTTGTTTAATAGCATGTCTTTTTGATATTGTGGAAATAAAACTCTTAGAAGATTCATCAGAAATGGTAGTATGTTTCTTCATTTGTGGTATAATCTTAATTGATGCATCTCCTGTTTTCGGAGCAATAAGGACACCCATCTCAAAATGATGATTGTTAAATTATCCAATGATTGTTAAATTATTTAGAAGTTATATTGATCCAATATAAAGTTCATATTGATATTTGTCATAAAGAAATGTAAAAATTAGAAAAACGAATTATAATAAAATATTTTATATGTATAAAAAATAATCAAATGATATTAATTTTATTACAAAATGTAATAATAACATCTCTATGAATTACCGAAACTCTAAATCTTCTCTGTCCCATTACTGAAAAACAGAGACATGTATAATGTTTGTATCTTTGTCGGTTTTTAAAAACATCCATTACATTACAAAACCTCAAAGTTACCAATTAATTTTGAGACTTTAACGCCTGGAAAAGGTTACGTTTATCATTCGAATAATATAACAAAATAAAATCACATTTTTTTAAAGCACTAAAAATCATAATTGCTATATTCATATAAAAGTATGAAAGATATAAGATCTTAAAAATATATAGTGTCTTTGATATAATAAATAGCAAAAAATATATTAATAACTTGTGCAATATTTTAATATTGACACAATTTTTTTTTGTATTAGAAAATATTTATAAAATTAGATAAAATTAGATTAGATTATATAAAATAAAATTATTAAAATAAATATATATTAGAAAGTTAAGAAAGAGATATACATATGTCATATATGTATAAGTGAAAGTATTTTTCGATAACATTAAATAATTTTTATTTTATTTTTTTATTTTGATAAAAATAAAAAAAGTATTTTTAAAAATAATTCTATTTTTTATAATAATAATAATAAAACATATTAGAAATAAAAATATAGTGATTATTACTTGAATATTTATTTCTTTTTGGAAAAAAAACTTATTTAATACATGTAAACAATAAATAAATTAAATATATTATTATTATTATGTTTTATTAAATAAATTAAAAAATTCTTATATGAAATTAATTCTAAAGAAAATTTTTTTTTATAATTAACATTCTATTGGTTAGTTATTAAAATTTTATTTTGATAAATAATATAAGTACATTAACATATTGCTTAGAATCGTTATACAATATTTTTTTATATAAAATTGATTTTATTTATTTAAATTATTTTACCTGGAATTATATCATATAAATTATATTTACATTATTATACATTACATAAAATTGATTTATCAAACTTAATGATTATTTTAAAAGATGTTTTTTTTATACAATTAAAATATATATTTAATAAATTAATCATTTCATTCAAATATTTATTTTATTCAATTCTGAATTATAAAAATTTAATTAAATGCATATAATGTGTATGTGTATATTTCTTAGAATCTGAAGACAAGTTGACCAATGAAGTTTTCTTACATTTTACAGAATTGACAGTAAACCATAAGCGTAATTACGCATAAAACTTTAAAAAATTTCGGAAGAATCGATATTGCTTCATTTAAGTAAATTACTAACTTTTCCATTATTTCATAATTAAATAAACATAATTTGTTCAATTTCTAATTTTATCTAATTTCATAAAATATTTTTAAGAAAATAATATTTAATGAAAAATTATAGAAGCTTTAAAAATAAAAAAAAATGATAAAAGAAATAAAATATATAATAATTCATTCAATAATACATTGTTTAATTGTTCAGTAAAATTGATTGAACCGAAATGATGAATTCGATACTCGATTCTTTAGTAATTACGCCAATGATATGCGTTCTTTCAGTTTGATCGGCATGGCTGCCACGGCATTCACGAACAGATCGCGTCGCGATGCACGTAGAGTCAGTACTTGGTTCGTGAGCGGCGTTGTTTCGAAATCGGAAGGCTTAACAAGTGATCAATTTTAATTTGAAAATGCGCAAGATCGGTACATTTCTTTAATTTGAATTAGTGATTCGACTAATCAAGTACAGTCATGTTATTTTTTAACCTCGAGTCAGTGAAAAGTGATCGAGAAATAGATTGACAGGAGTATAATGTTATTTGTACCAAGATGAAAGAAAGATTATGATAAACTTGGAGACAACATATACAATTTTAATACGATTGAGGCCGAAATATTTCAAACGTTTTTTGAAATTCACTTCAGTGATGATTTATTAGCGTTCGGTGTATTCGTAATTAATATTTCGTTGCGAACTGTGATCGTTCTAAAAACTTGTGCCGGTTAATTATCTGACTCGAGAGAAAGTCGACTGCTTTGCGTGTTCCAACCAGTTGATTCTACAACAAGTAGCAAAACTTTCGAGCTGGTGTTTTCGAATTGTGCATTAATCAACATTGATTAAAATTGTGCGTGTAATATATAGGTGAAGAAGTTTATCGAGAATCTGTGTGAATTTGTGTTCATATCGAATATATTCGAGGAATGTTTATATATAATCTGCAATTGTTTTTCAATATATCTAATAATAATTGATATCGAGTGATGATGAAGATATATTCAATAAATCGACAAAAAAGAATAATAAATGTATCTATATGAATGATAGATGCATTTGCATATATATGATTGACAGTGTAACAGTTCGATAGATGTCATCGACAGAACTAGCTATCAAAGTGTTTCGATTTATCGTGGCTCGGATCGATCCACGTATCAGCGAGTCGAATGTGATTCTGTTGATATTTCATGTATCGTAGACCAATGTAGCGCAATGTTTGTCAGATTGGTTATCGTTATTATGGCATTGTGCCTATGGAATGGAGCCGGTAAGATATTTTTTTTATTTTTTAATATATTTTAATTGATATACGTATTATTATTCAATTAACGATTTTGTAAACAGTCGAAATTTTGTTTCTATTTTTTTGAAAAATAATGGCAGTAATATTCAAAGTATTAAGAACATTCGTTTAAATTCGATAATTCTTAACATTTACAATAATTATTTATTTAGTTTTGATTTAAATATGAATGAAAATTTTAATGATGAACAATCATTTTAAATTTGAAAAACTTTTACCAATAATCTATGATATTTGTAGTTTTTCAACCACGATTTTATAGCCTGTACTTTCTAATATATCCCGGAGAAAGCGTCGAGAATACTTCTTCTGACGCATGCTTCAAATAATGCGAAATCAGAATGTAGAGGAATAAATTTAACAAACAAATGATCGTTCACTATATAAATAAATCAATTCGACATTATGTATTTATTGAAATTTCATATCTAATTTTAAATGAAATTAAACGTTAAATATTTTTAAAGTAATCTGTATCATATAATAATAAAATTGAAATTTTTTTTTTCGAATTAATTATACAAATTTTTTCTTTCAAATTAATTATGAAAATATAGTTCTTATTTTTTTAAATAAATCTTAAATTACTTTCATTACGCATTTTAAACAAGTTTAATAAACGGGACAATATGTATATTTAAATCATATTCTACGAAATGCTGCCATATGCATTGGCAATAAATTCGTTGCAGCTTTCAATCTATAATGGAGATTCTCACCTGTTCAATGAAATATTATGGCCTGAAAAAGCATATTATAATGTATGTCATAGAAAAATTGTGAAATAATAAATGTGAATTGTCATTCTATAAAAAACTATTAAAAAAAACTATAAAAAAATATGTGACAATATTTATGATGTTTTAAAAGAACTTTTTAAAGTTTGTTAAATTTAATCAAAATGAACGATTAATATTTTATATTTTATAAATCAAAAAAACAATAAATATTATTAAAATTTTTTTAGTTTACTTTAAAAAAAATCTAAGTTTTTTTTTCTAATTTTTTCAAAAAAGTATTCTACTTTTAATTGTTGATATTTTTGGTTCAGTTATTATAATTTTTATTATTTATTTTATTGTAAATATATTATAAATTCATAAATATATATTTTTTAATTACTTAAAGGAAAGAAAATATACTTTTGAAAATAATTATTATAAATAAATATTTGTGATATATCCAATCAAAAAAGATACAAAAAGATTTCTTCTCATCTCACAATAAATATATTTGTATGTATTTAGCTTGCAAATTATTTATCATGGTTCACTTTCATATACATATACTTATATGCATATTGCACCTACGCAACATTCTTCTCATACTTCATTAAGTTGCCGCCTTTGATACAATGAATTCTGTTCATTGCAAGCGATTCCTTTCTATTTAATATTGATGCCACGAAATAAAAAAAGTCTCTCTCCTTTCCAAATACATAATTGTACGATTAAATAAAATAGTAAAGATGTATTTGCGAATTAATTTGAATAGTGAACTGCTCGTGGAATTCAAATTTATGATTTAAATATGAATTTTCCAACTTTGACTAGGTAATATCGGATTCACTTGTAAACGAGTCTATACCATGATTTAATGGAGTAGTGGTGAAGGGTACGAGTGAAAGTTACTTAAATCATTTATTCGATCTATTCGAATTATCATTTATTTTATCGATTTTGTTTATTTTATCTTTTTCTTTTTTATTTTTTTTTTATGTCGATATGTTAAACATAAAATTATAAAACGAAATAAAAACTTAGAAAAATAGGAAAGATTTATTTGAGAAATCAAAATACATTAAAAGAATGCTTATAGTGATGTTGATTACTGTAAAAAGTAACGGTGTTTACTTCGATTACAATAGAGCAACGGCATTTATACAAAGAATAAAGAAATGTGTCAAAGTTGTATAAATTAAGAATTATATGTATTCTGTTCCATAACTAAAGTATTGAAGTTTATGAAAGTATGTAGTAGGTTTCTCATGAAAGTATTTTTAACATCTCATATCAAAGAAAGAAAATTTTTCTTTTGTCAGCGTAAATTTTTTTAAAAAAAATTATTCTTCAAATAGCTTTGTTAACTAAAAGGCCCAGGAAGTTTCCAAACAGACTTAAATAGAAAGTCGTTGTCGCGACTTGAGAGACACCTGCACGTAGAATTCTTTTAACTAGTAATAGGATCAAGTTCGTTATGTACCTATAAATAAATTTAAATCTAATGAAAAAGATCATTTTATAGGATTCATATAATAGTAGTAAGATATAATAAAGTATTTGATCTTTAGTATTCATGAAATTTTTAAAAAAATATTTATAAAAGATTCGAACATATTTGAACATACTTGCGATAGATGTAATGCCATTACTCTTTCGTAATTCATTTTTTTGTAGGTTCTGAGTTTCAAAGATACTTACAGTACTTATATCATCGAAAAAAAGAAGCCAGTTAACCGATAACACAAAGATGCATGACTCCACGAGTCTTTAAAGAATGCAGAAGAATATAACAATTTTTATCTGAAAGAAATTTTACTAACTCTCATTAATAAATAAACGAATATGCTTATATATTTGTTTTTATGATATTCTCGATATGATTTTACCAATCAAAAGTTTGAACATATTCCAAGAATTCATCATTCTGTAACCTCAAAAATTTTATTATGAAAAATTTATTAACAAATAACTGAAATTATTATTGAAATTATTATTATTATTGTATTATAGAATTAATTTTTAATTAGTAATAAAATTAATAGAAAATTTGATGTAGTTATAATTGATGATTGCAAATTATCAACTGCATATTGGTTTTTATAACGGCTTTTTGTCAAAAGAAAATAGCAATTGCCAGATATGCATTAGGAAAGTTTATTTCGCTTGTTCATGTTCTTTCTCATCGTTTGTTTCGCATGCCTGCCAACCTTTTTTTATTGTTCTCTTCAGTTACATGTGCTTCCTGTTTAAGTGCGCCTCCTCTTGGCATTTTTCAACAGTTGCGATCTGTAAATAGAACAAAGTTATGGCATGTGTTATAATTAGAGTGTATTGTTTAATAGATAATTTATTATTATTATATTATATTAATAAAAAAAATGAATTTTACGATAAAAATTTCATTAAGAATTTTAATGATATACAAATTATGACAATTAAAGTTTTTTGTCTTAATCTAAAATAGTAAGTAATCTAATCTATATCCTAACATAACCTATAAAATAAAATTCAATCAATTTCATTTCACTGATTAAAAATTGAAAAAAACTTTTCAGCTATTGCAATTCATTTTAAATAAAATTGATTAGATTTGTATTACTGATAAATATTAGATAGAAAGATGAAAAATATATTAATGTCCAAATATTTTTGCGACGATAATTTGTTCGAAAACTACCGAGATTCTTCGGCAAGGATTCGTATTTTGATCAGATCTTGTGCAGACGAACGATTATCGATGAAGGTTGGATACACGATTTCTTGTTTGGTGTCTGGCGACCCGATTATGCGACCGGCTGTTAAACGTTAATTCGTCTGGCGAGTGGTCGAGTCATTCGTCGTTTTATTTTGTCGCGCAGCCATTTTTCCGCTCGAATTCTTTGGTTGAGGAAGAATCACGATCGTACTTTTGGTCGTTTCCATTCGTTAAAAAAAACCATTGCAGAAAAGTATGATGCAGAAAAAGTGCGGAAAAGTCATTCTCGGAACACATTCTTGCATTATCGATCAACTATGCGTTCACATACGTATCAATCACGCATTCTTTTTGTTTAATGAACATGCATTCGTCCAGTCAATGATACACATACAATGATGGATTGTCCATTGTGAAAATTTCTTAAGAGTTTCTCAGATATTTAGGATTTTATTGGGAATGAAAGATGAATGTATAGCTTGTAGAATATAGTTTATTGTATTTTCATAGATATTTATCTTCTTTTTTATCTTTTCTTTATTTGTCTGTTTCTAGAAAGAAATTTATTAGATTAAATATATTTTTAAATGGGATTTTTAATATTTGAAAAATTTAATAATAATTTTTGAAAATTAATTTGATCCATAATTAATGTATTAGCTTTCAAAACAAAAAAAAAAAACAAAATTTATATTAAAATGAAGATTGAATATATTATTTATTACATTATTATTAATAAAAAAGATTTACAGTTATTCTAGCAAACGTTAAAAATATTTATAATTCAATAAAGATAACGGTATTTTTTAAACGTGATTTTTTTTTAATTATATCAATAATATAAAAAATAAATAGAATTAGAGAATAAATATTAAAATTATATTAAAAATAAATTTATTCTTTATATATATATATATGTGAAAATTATAATTAAATATAATTAAAGAATAATTATCTTCATCTTGGAAATGTGTTACACGTTAAATACATAGCAATTGATTAGAAAAGATCGTTCTTGTGCCGACATTCGTGTCTCTGAGAAAATGCTCGGCGTTGTGCGGTAATTCAGGCGCAGGTACTTGTTTGATAGAACAACCATTACTTAATCATTACAAACTTCTTGTGGCACTAATTGACTTCTATAAATTTAACGCATTTAATAATGAATTATGAATGAATTATATATAAAATACATACCATTAATGCAATATAATGTACATACGTCACACAGAAAATAATTAATTGTATAATTAACATATATGAACAAATTATTTGTTACGACACATTAATTAGAAAATAAAGTTAAATCTATTCATTCGTATCTTTGTTATATAATTAATTGTAGCATTTTATTTTATTTTAGCATTATTAAATTTTAGTAATTATAAAGAATCTTATTATCTTATAAATTTAATAAAAAATATTTCATATACAATTTTCATTAAATTACATTATTATTATATACATATATTTCACTCTTAGTTTTTGCCACCAAAAATATTATTTATCTACGTTATAAATTTCCAATTAATATATAAAATAACAAACGAGAATCGTGTCCCCTTTAGCGTGACACGAAGAAGAAAAAGTTCTTCGTGAAATTTTAACTCGTCTGCATTCACAAAACCGCGAAACATATACTTATGCCTGAATATAATGTTACAAGTCGCATATGGCCACATTAAGATTCGCTCAAGGCAATCTGATGAAAAGATTTCAAGGCTTTATACCGCTGATCACCGAACATTTTTTTGTACACTTTTTTTTTGTACACTTAAAATATTATTATTATTATCACGAATACAAATGTCTTTCTTAATATCAAAACTTCCTAATTATTTAAACAAGTATTAAATTTACACAGATAGCTAGTTTTAACAGAAAAATTTCTTACATAAATATTTATTGTGCATTATTTTATTAAATGAATAACATATAATTTATAATTATATGTACATAAGATTTACAATATAGAATGTCTGTTTTACACAATGGAATATCTTTTGATGAAAGAATGTTATGAAAAAAAAGTTCTTATATAAAATATTGTTTGGTATGACAAGATAAATTATGTAATATTTAATTAGCTTTGATTTAGATGAAGGCCATATGGAAGTCAACTGGAAGTCATACGAAGATCAATTATTTTTTAAAATTGGATCATACAATTGGATCATGACAATATTAACCAATGCAATTTATCTCCTACAAAAAACATATCATGTATCAAATAATCATCAAAAGATATCGTAACTTACTAAATACTTATTAATCTTCGTATAACACTCGAATCCGATTTATAAATAAAAGTCGTTCATTTAGAAACGACAAGGAGGAAATTTTGCGCGCAAAAATCATAATCTCCATACGAATCTCTAAACGAATTTTCGGTGTGCGTATCGCCATGCATGAAAGTGAAGCGTCATGCTAAGGAATATATTTAAGGACCGACGATGACCTCACCGAAGTGAAAGTTCTCCGGTTCTGTTCCCTACAGTCGGTTAAAACGAGCAAAAGGTAAAAATAAAGGAGAGAGAGAGAGAGAGAGAGAGAGAGACTCCCGGCCTCTTTCGAGCGCCCATAAGCTTCGCTGGACGTATCCGCTTCCGGAAGGCAACGCGTTCCTCGTTGACGTCACGACCTTGGTCGAATACCACGAAATCGATGGGTTTCGAAAGATCGGCCTTCGATTAAGTGGATTTTCGAGTCTTGATGATCGTCGAAAGATTTTCTCATCATGGGATGCTATACAACGATTGTGAAGCAATAATGACGATGGATTTTTATGTTTCAGGGAACAGATATTAAATTATAGTCTTTTTTTTTTTTTTTTGGTTTGGATCTTTGCTAAATCCCCAACTTTCTCTCGGGGATTTATTTTGTGATGTATAAACACGCTTTTTGATGCTCCTTTCGAATATTATTGTAATATGGATCGTAACTTATTTCTTCACTTTCTATTTTAATTTCGAAATTTTAAATGTTGTTTTTTTTTTAATTTTATCAGGAATTTTATTAAGAATTCCTTTTAATTTGTTGTTTATAGTAGATTACAGAATATTTGATAAGTAAATGAGTTTGATTTAATTCTAACAATAGCATTTTGAGATCTTCCAATCTAAATATAATTTTTCTGCTTAAGTATTAATTAAAAAAAATTTGAAAAAAATCAATATATACATATTAAAATATTTAAGTTTAAAATTATAAAATTAAATCTAATCATAAGTTTCATATTTATAATTATTTTAATATTATAAAAAATAAAGGAAAATCTTAATTGTTGTAGGGTCAAGTATTAGCCACAATTAAATTTATAATTTTATTGTATCTAATTATGCAAACAGTCGTGGTTGTATTCCAAAAATTCATGGTCTTTTTGCGATGAAATTTCACGTAGAAATGAGAAACTATCCGCGGTATATTTTTGTAGCGTTAGAGCGAAAGATGGAAACCGAATAGTTCACTTTCAGATCCTGTTGCATCTCACATTACTTGAAGTACGTAAGTACTTACTTAGATCTATCCATTCTCCACGAGTCATTCTTTAAAAGTTGCATGTGTAATCGTTACGTGCGATTAATCTATTTTTTTTTTTTTGAACAAATTATTAGAAAGCATTACAGAAATTGTTTAAGAAATTGTTTAAGAACATTATATTATATGGAAAGATGGGAAGAAATGTGTATCTGTTTTTTTTTTTTTTTTTCAAAATTTTTCAACTTCAACTTAACACGATATATTTGATATTTATATATGTTATATTTTTCGATAGCGAGTTTCAAAAAAATAGTTTTTCAAACTTTATATCTTAAATATTTTTATTTCTGATAAAAAGATAAAATTGAACGTCTACAAATAGCTGGAAAAATATATTTTCTGTGTCTGACGTAAGAAGTTTAAAAAAAAAATTTATGATGAAAAGATTATTTATTTTCTAAACCTGTTTCGAATTTTTTTGCCATTATTTTCAAAATTTCGATAAGAATCGAATAATTTATCGAGAAAAAGATTTATTGATAATTTATGTATTATCAATGCTGAATCTTGAAAAATTTTTAAAAATTTTGACGATAATTATTTTATAAATTATCTATTTTAAAATTTTTTAAATTTTATTATATTGTATAATATAAATAGCATTAAATTTTTAAACAATTATAAATTCTTTTTTACAATCAATTCTCTTTTCAAGGTAAGTCGTTACTACTGTCTAAAATATGCTGGCATTACAGAAATGTACAGAAAACTGAAAGAGCTCTCAGATATTTTAAGAGTAAGACTTGAGTCTTGCTATTCAAGTATATATCAAAGTCGAGAGCGCTTGACTTTCTATCCATTAACGAGAATTTCTGTCTATCTTGTGCTAAAACTATTGATAAATATAATTGCTGAATGCTTATAATTAAACACTGTCAAAGGAAATATTTATTCTCTTACGAATAGTTGATGGAGATGTTATTTTTTCAAAAATCAACAAAATTTCTTTAATTAATAATTTTATTAATCTTTCATTGATGTATATAAATAATTTTTTATTAAAAGAGAATAGTTTTCGTAAATAAATACTAATAAAAAAATTATCCTTTTTTTTTTCAATGTTTTTACATGTTAATTGACAGCCA